AATATGGCGGAAAGTCAAAAATTTGCACTAAGTGCTCAACTCGGCGAGATAAGCACTTTTGTGCATAAAGTGACAATGTTAAAAAGTTGTCAAAATTTAATTTTATTTTTTGTTAGGCAAAGCGAGATAGCCTGAAACAAACACTATTCCATTGAAAGTTTTGAAGTTTTTCTGAAAAGTACTCGAAATATGGCGGAAAGTCAAAAATTTGCACTAAGTGCTCAACTCGGCGGGATAGGCACTTTTGTGCAAAAAGTGACAATGTTAAAAAGTTGAGTCAAAATGTAATTTTTTTTTGTTAGGCAAAGTTGAGAAAGGCTGAAACAAACACTATTCCATTTAAAGTTTGAAGTTTTTCTTAAAAGTACTCGAAATATGGCGAAAAGTCAAAAATTTGCAATAAGTGCTCAACTCGGCGAGATAAGCACTCATGTGCAAAAAATGACAATTTTAAAAATTTGAGTCAAAATGTAATTTTTTTTGTTAGGCAAAGTGAGATAGGCCAAAACAAACACTATTCCATTGAAAGTTTGAAGTTTTTCTTAAAAGTACTCGAAATATGGCGGAAAGTCAAAAATTTGCACTAAGTGCTCAACTCGGCGAGATAAGCACTTTTGTGCAAAAAGTGACAATGTTAAAAAGTTGAGTCAAAATGTAATTTGTTTTTTTTTTAGGCACGGTGAGATAGGCTGAAACAAACACTATTCCATTGAAAGTTTGAAGTTTTTCGGAAAAGTACTCGAAATATGGCGGAAAATCAAAAATTTGCACTAAGTGCTCAACTCGGCGAGATAAGCACTTTTGTGCAAAAAGTGACAATGTTAAAAAGTTAAGTCAAAATATAATTTTTTTTTGTTAGTCAAAGTTGAGATTACGTAACATTAGAATGCATCACTACTATTCGAGGCAGATGTTACTCAGCCTTTGCAATTTATAACATAAGCCATCTAGTGCTTTGTTTCAATCACTGAACTGTCTTGGAATAGCATGCACTAAATCCCGTTGTTGTAGGGGTGGGCGTAACAAGTTGAGGCGTATTACAACCCGTATACATCTGAGATTTCCTACAAGTACATTTACAAATACCGACAGAGGTTGCATTTCTGGTAATTTGATCAAGATTGTTTGTAATCATTATGGTAGCCGTGGATGTCATGATCAACTGCCAACATTTTTCTTTTGTAACCCGAGGTCGCTTAATAACAAACTTAATGAATTAAGTGTTGTGTTGGAATCCAATAATGTCGACGTCCCTGGAATCGCCGAATCTTGGTTCCCTGCTAACTTACCTCCTGAACTTTCGAACATTGACTAGTAATGTACTTTTTCCAGGCCTAGAACCGATAAACGTGGCGGTGGTGTGGCCCTCTATGTTAAGAACAGCATTAAATGCAAGGTGCTTACCGACATTTTTGTACCAGATGACATTGAAGCTCTATGGGTCAGCGTGAGACCTTTCCGTCTACCCAGGTTCGTCACCAGTTTTGTGTTAGGTGTGATTTAATATCCGCTTAATAGCCCTGTTGCTGAAAAAATCATTGATCATTTGAGCTCTACGATGGATAGTGTTTTGTCCAAACACCCCGGTAGTGGTATTTGTATAGTTGGAGATTTCAACCACCTCGACTTGAACTGTGTTCTATCTAGTTCAATTAAACAAGTGGTCAACAAACCTACACGAGGCAGTTCAATTTTGGACAAAATCCATACCAACGTTAGTTCAAAATATCTGCGCCCTGTCATTTTGCCTTCTATTGGACTGTCGGATCACAATTGTGTTCTTTTTAAACCCAAAGTAACTGCTACGAAATCTAACTTTATAAGAAAACACATTGTGCGTCCCATGCCGGACAGTTAGTTACGAGCATATGGGCAGTGGCTTGTTGATTATTAGTGGATGGAATTGTATAACGAGAACAATATGCAAACTATGTGTTCTAACTTTTACTAAACCTTGCATGAATCAATTGACAAGTATTTTCCAAAACGTGTTGTTAAGCGCCATCCCACCGATAAACCGTGGATGTCATCGTAAATTAAAGCACTTTTTGCCAAGAGACATAAAGCATTCGCAAACAATCATGATCACCTTTGGCGTCAACTAAGAAACAAGATTAATCGTCTAATTAGAGAAGCAAGAAATCTATTTTATGTTAATAAGATTCAGCATCTCAAACGATCCTCACCAAGTGAATGGTATAAAAATATATGTGTTATGACTTGTCAAATTTCACAGAAAGAATTAGCAGTTCCTAATTGCAACAATCATATGGAGACTGCTAACGCTGTTTGTACTCACCTTAGCAGCATAGGTAAAAATCTTAAATCACTAGACAGACTATCCCTACCGGTGTTTTTGCCTGCGGCTGAACCCCGATACATTCAACCATGGGATGTCGTCAGAATCATCAATAAACTGAATACTAGGAAGGCTGGTGGTCCAGACATGATTTCTGCTCGATTCATTAAAACATTCTCATATGAATTGGCCGAACCTCTATCATGTATTATTAATGCGTCTTACCGTGCACTTGAGGTGCCCAGTGAATGGAAACGTGCCCATGTAGTTACCATCACTAAGGATCCGAAGCTTCCAGCTACACTTGATAATATACGACCTATTGCACTTACCGACCTTTTTGCAAAAATTGCGGAACACTTTGTGGCAAGAGATACATTAAAAAAATGAATACCATGCTTGACCCGATGCAGTTTGGGAATCAGCGAAAAGTGTCTATATCTCATTGCTTAATTAGTCTTATGGACTCGCTATATCGGCATGCTGAAATTCCTTTTACTGTGTCTTCCATTTTGTTCACTGATTTTTCAAAAGCCTTCTACTTAGTTGATCATACGATTGCGGTTTCCAGACTAATAAATATGAACGTTTCACCTACCAATGTTGCTTGGATTGCTGATTTTCTCAGTAACAGACATTATCAAGTCAAGTACAGGGGTCACTTATCTGATAGTTGTATTGTCAATTTTGGTGTCCCTCAAGGGACCAAAATTGCCCCCGTCGTCTTCTGTGCAATGATTAATAATGTCTTCCCCCCTGAAATTGCTCCTGTTAAACATTTCAAATATGTCGATGATCTTACATTAATCGAGTATCGTAATATTGTTA